GTCGGCATCGCCGGTGGAATCGGCCTCGTCGGCAATACCTTCTTTAATGGTGTCCAGTTTTTTGCCGTTTGAATCACCATTTGCCTTAGCCGTCGCTGGCTCATCTTTATTGGCCTCACCTTCTTCATCCTCATCTTCGTCCGCCTCCTCATCTTCATCATCATCAGCCGCCTCATCGGGCACATCGATCACTTTGTTCTCATCCAACGCCATCGCAATCAAAGCCTTTGCATAGCTGCAAACAAAAATAGAATACATTAGATACAATTCGATCTCATTCCTATATTCCTACTCACAGCAGCAGTGGCTGTCCCAGCTCATCGGCCAGCTCGCCGTAAACTTCTTCGTACAGCTGGCACACCTGACTCAGCTCATCGGCCGCCTCGTCGTAGCTCTTCACAAGAAAGTTACGTGATCCCTGACTGAATAGCTCTTTGCCCTTAAGGATTTTTTCTTCACGTATTTGCTCCGGATTTAGAGCAACATCTGATGGCACCTTATCGGGCGTAGTGTCCGCAGCGACGGGTTCATTAGCTGTTTTCTCTGGCGCTGCATCGACACCACCCGTTGTGACAATTGCTTCAGCTTCAGCGGACATTTCAGCGTTCCTTGTGAAGTTAATTGTAATGGGAAATCTATAAGAATTTGTATAGGTCAAATCATTAAGTTGTATTAATGGAAGCAACACAACAATCATCATTAAATTATTGTATATTTTTTTGTTTTTTAACATAGTTTCGATTTCTTTACTGCTTTATAATTACATTAGCTTAAACACATAATGGATTGGCGCTTAATCTTTTTGATTCCACAAATTAATCCCTTGAAATCCAATACCTTTTGTAGAGATTGTGCCCTAGACGTCACTTTCGATGTATGTAGCGAGAGCGGAGAGAACCGCAAATAAAAAACAACAAAGTTTATTCGTATTTTTCGCAATTCGTATCACAACCAAACAGCTAGCTTACTGTCACAGCACATACATATGTACATAAATTCATTTATCTGGCTCACTGATTCACCCGCAATGGCTTAAAACGGCTTCGCCTCACCTAGCGCTGCCCGCACCTTTCACAAGTCATTAACACAAATCCCCAATGGAGAAGGATTCCAAAATCGTTGTAAATCCTTTGAGTACATTAAGCTAAAAATAAAAGACCTCTCCTCGGGTGTGCCACAGTGCTAGATACCCTGTATTCAGCAACAAGTTAAGAACTCTGCATATTAAATGTTTAAGGTGATACTTTGAAATTTGAACATACACAGGGTATTTATCAATATCGATAATATACATCTCTCTTGAGTCCCGTGGGTAGTTAATATAACGACAATCAAACATGAAATCTCTTAACGAAGTTATAGTCTCTTAGCACTAAAAGAAACCATTTTGTGCTTGGTTACATGCCCATAACACCCCTTTTAAACCACATACTATGAGCATAGAAGCCGAAAGAGCAACAACTATCAGAAACGGGTACAATAAACGTCCGTGAATCCACCCAGGCAATGACATCAAATGAATGCATATAGTAATTACCAGCAGTTCCTAAGTTTATTGCCAAACCATTGTCGATATCGAGCCACACACGTGTGTCCCCCGACCCCAGTCAGCTCCGTATTCTGTTCGTCTTGTACGTGCAGCGACCAAAAAATAGGTCATCGTGTGGTTTGGGTTTGGGTGGGTGAGCGCCCACCCCACCTCCTGCAGGCATTGTAAATCGCAATTGGCACTTTGGTTTTTGAACGAGTTAGTTCTAAACCTTGCCGCGGTGGGCTTTTAATTGGCACAGTTAGTGTAGCGCATGGCGTAATTGGTTTCACTAGTGTTTTGATTGCGAGTATTATATGCTAGTTGAAATTAATGGCACGTGCCAGATGGATTTAGGACGACATTGAATAATGAACACATGGGACGAAACGAACAAAAGGATAGTAGTAGCTTAATATAGTATGAATCGCAGCTAGGTTAGAGTAAATGTTTTGGATTATTACAATATACGAAATATATTTCATAATCTTTAATCATATTAGAATCTTAATAATAATAATATCTCGCATAAGCTTAAGCTTCTATCCATCACACAATCCGCCTTTATGTAGCTTTCGCTTTACACTTTACACAATTCAATCATTATGTTTCGTCAACCTTTGTAAATGATTTGAACAAATGTTTTTCAACTTTAATGAAACAAACTTAAAGCCGCCACTAATTTAAATTTGTTTTGAATAAAAAAACAGGAATGCAAAACCTGTCCATATCCTGCTCCCTGGTCTGTCTCATCATTCTAGGCAGCGCCGCTTTGGTAGGCGCCTTTGGCGTGTGCCAGCGCCAAATAAGCGCCATCCTTATTACAGGCGTTATGTATCTGCTGGCGGGTGAGCTCAACCGGACATCCGACACCGGAATGTTATCCATTTGATCTCAATTAATTTCCTTTCTTTTTGCAGCTCTATTTGCGCTTTTCACGCTGATGATAATACACTTTAAGCGACAACAGGGACGCCCCATGTTGGACAGCGACTATGACGGCACTGTCGATGGCATTGTTGCCCGGCCGGGCGGCGTGGCTATTGTGGCCAAGCCGTTGCTGGGCGCACGTGTATTTCTAACTTCGTGGAGTCTGGATCTGGGCTGGGGTGGCGTAGTGCTGTGCGCCATTACATCAGTGCTATGGATTCTGCTCTCGAAGATCATGCGCTACAACCCATTCTCGGCACTTATGATTTAGCTAAACGCCCTGCCGCTCGGCGGCTATGGCAGCTATGATAGCTACGATGGCTATGATGGCTATTATGGCAGCTACGGCAGCACCAACAGTAGCAGCAGCGGCGCTAGCGCTAGTTTCCTGCTGGCGGGCGCCTCAACGTCGACGCGGCATGCGGAGCATCGGGGCAAGGGCAAATACATACTCTGAACTGCCCCAACTCCCAAACTAAAACAAAACAAGCAACAAAAACCTTGATCTTAACTCTCCTGCTTCCACACTGCATGTTTAACGGTTCATCATTTCGATAAGTTTTGAATGCGCGCCCTTTACTCAGTTGACAGTGTTGGAAAATGTACCAAAAAGCGATAACCGCAACAAAATCAATTGCCTTGTTCTTATATTATATACGTATACTTATAAAACAAAACAAACGAAAAACTTTATCTTAAACCTATATTGTAAATCAAATTTACGATTATCTATCTATCTCTCTGTCTATAAGGAACACTTGCAATTTTTGTATACATTATATTTAAATACTTAGCTAATCTACACCAAACAACTTTACACACGCACACACACACATACAATTTACAGGCCACAACTACGTTTGTTACATAGAATTGAGATAGTTCGGGATTTATTTACAAATTCCCAAACTGGGCTTTTGCTTTTGAGACGCTTACCTAGTAACAATTTCGCTTGCTTAGCCAATTTCTAACATATTAAAGCTAAAGTTAATGGGCCTATCCAAAATTCTTGGCTATAATAGTTTGTGTGTTTTCAAACAGATAGATCAAACTAATACAACTATCAAAACTATACATATACTATTCATAGAGTGCTTTAAGCTATGGTTTACAAAACTTATTCTATTTGTATAGGTGCATCCACTTGGAAAAGAAACCAACAAGTGTATTTTTATGCAAATGCTTCGCCTTAAACAAAAATTCAAAGACAAAACCTAATTATATTAATTAAAATTATTTAAAACAACAATTAAATTGCCAATTTCTCTTGGGACTGTGGAAATTTTAAGCACAATTGCGATCGATCTATTTATAAAGCGGGCGAGACATCTGCCGCATGTGTATTAAATTTTAAATGTTAAATAAAATATCAGACAAGAGACGAACGCAGGTTCATTAGCATTGAACGCGACAGTTGCTGCCGCGGCTGCTTGAGCAAATATGTAAATGAACTCGCAAAATAAATTCTATATGAAATTGAAAAAGAAAAAAATTAAAAAAGTGCGCGCCAAATTCAATAAATGTGCAAATTGCAACGAGGATCTTCGGTGGATATGGGCCAGGGCAGCGCGCCATGAGCCAAAATAAAAATGGTTCGAGTTGTTTTATTAGCACGCACTGCAAACAATTAAATAAATACATATTCAAACATGCATGTACGTATGCCTGTATTTATGTACATGTGTACACGGCAAAGAGATCGAGATTACAAAACAACGCAAAAAAGTTCATTCACCTGTGTGAGTGCGTGCGTGTCTGTGTGTGTTTTTGTGCGCGCATCGCAACGCGCTATTTGCGTGTGTGTGTGGTTGCGTGTATGTGAGAGCCCGCCATTCGCCGCCTGCCACTGTCACACGCTAAAAGACATACACCGGTAGCGCTAACGGATCTTTTATTCACCACAAAAAACTACAAAAACAATTCGCATATTCGCAAACAACAAATAGAGTAACAAAAATTCATGGCGTTTTTACACATTAGATTCGCAAATTCGCAAGCTCTACTATATGTGTATTTGTGCCGCTGTGTATATCTCATTCAAGCGCCTACTTAAACAATATTACACTTTACTATGACTTACCTGTGTGTAGATGATCTTTAACAAAAAACAATTAACAAAATATGCACCCTTTGAAGCACTAATATTACGCTTATTTGCAAAATTATATGAGTAAGCGCCGCGAAATGCTAAAGAAGACAGAGGAATTGTAGCTGATCTATCGATAACGAGGAAATGCTTATGGTCACACTATTACAGCAAGCAAGACGCTAAAAATTATATTAAAAAATTATCGATAGCAGATAAGAACATAAAGTTTTATAGCATTAGCATAGGGTCGAGATATGCTCTTAAATTAATTATTATAAATAAATGGTTCCTTACAATTTAAATTTAAATTTATAATTTGGTGTTTTCTATCGATATGTTAAGGCTTACCACCGCGCTCAACTATCGTTTAACCAGTGTATGCACACTGAACTCTATCAAACAAGTTAGCAGTCAACCATTTGTTTTGGCGATTACATACAATCGACTTGCCTCGTCGTTTAATTGAGAGTGCAGTTACATTTCAGAGTCCAACGAGAGGGGACGTACACGGTGTTCTCCAAAATTTATTGAAAAGCGTTAGTGTTAATGGGCATTTGAATAAACAAAACGGCAAATAATATACATGAACAGCTCCAAATTCCAATAGTGTAAATTACAAACAAACACAGTGAAACATTAAATAATCAACCCTCTGTTTGTTAAATATTTATACACACCACCAACGCCCCCTACCCCTGACCCTGCGTGTGAGTGGCGCCAACGTACATATGTAAAAGCATTCAACGTTGCGTCCGATAAGAACAGCAACAGCAGCAACTACAACTACAACAACAATTATTGTAAGTATATTTTTATGCTGTTGCTTTTGTAATGTTGTCCTTAGTGCGTACGTTTCCTATTTCTATTGATTTTTGAACGCTGTCGGTTAACCCTCAACTTTGGCCCTTTGTTTTTGTCGTGTTTTGTTTTGTGTCTTGCTCCACTTTGAGTCGTGTGCATTTGAATATGCGTATGTATGTGCGTGTTTTTGTTGTTTTCGCCATTCAACTTGGCCGATGTCTTCATTGTTATTACTGTAGTTTGTTTTTTTTTTTGTCTCATGTGCTTTTATTCTCTGCTTCTCTGAATCACCTGCTGTTCGCTTCACGGGCAGCTGCAAAATCTCAGCTGCTGCCGCGACAACAAAAACAGCAACAGCAGCAGCAGCATCAAAGGCAAAGCTTTTATTGTTGTTGTTGCAATAACCGGTTTGCGATTTCATTATGAGCAGCGCATTAACTTTTGTTATTGTCCAACTGCACAAGCTGCTAAATTGCGTCTAAACAATTGGAGCTCCAGTGCCAAATTGTTTTTAATTGCACTTAATTTTCTTCTACAGCTGCAAATTTGTCAGTTTTCCCCGCTTTCGTGTCTCGGTTTTCACTGCATACTCTTTACAGGTATTATTTCTAACCATTTCCAATGAAAAAAAAAACCAACAAAACGTTTTTCGTTCAGGCTGAAACTTTCCTCTTCTTTCTTTACCCTTTGTTCCAAAACTTGTGCAGCCCAAATAAATGGGTTTTTTGCAACCACCGGAACACATGCGACGTTGAAGGCGGCCAGCACACGAATAAGGACATGCTGCCAGCACACTCCAAGGATTTGACATGCGACGAATCGAATTATAGGTGGGAGGCACACCTAGTGCAGACTCTGCTACCACAGCACAGAACTGTCCTCGATTCCTGGGCGCCCGGTTGTGTAAACTGCGGCAACTGTCAGGCGGAAAATAACAGGAAATGAATTGTAAATTAAGTGTCCTCAACATGCTGCCCACAACATGGTTAGTCGTTCTGTGGCCCAAAAGCCAGTTAGACCGTTAGGGGTTAGTCTACGGGTAGACCGTGGATAAAACGTAGATCAAATGCTGTACAGCAGCGTCCACGTATTGAATTATCTACGCATTTAGTGGGGGATAAAAGGAATATAGAATTAGATAATTGAAGAAGAATTGCTATCAAATCTCTCACAAAGTATTATTCTATCATAAAAACATAAAAATAATGAAAATTAAAAACATTTTCATTAAATTGTAATACAAAAACAAAATGATAAAATATATTTAAAAAATCAATAAACTGAAATGATGAATTGCAGAAGTAATATTCATTTGAGATGATTTAGATAATATATTTAGTTGAAAAAGACCATTTATTTAAAGACTTTAAAGTTAACTTTATTAAACTATCTTAACTACTTTGCTACTAACTATTCAATCATACTAAAGGCCTCATCCATCAAGGAAAACTCTTAACTCTTAACAGTTTATAAACCATAAGTTTTTCTTTAATCGAGCTTGTGTTTTGCTCAATTCTGGTTATATCTACTGTTATTAGTTATCTGAGGCTTTAATCAGCAAAGTTCCATGCGCTGGCTTTAACTTGACGTGAAAGTATTCGACAGCATCTGAAATATTTAAGATGCGCAGTTCGAGTGGCGCCACGAATCTTGCTGGAATTAAATCACTTTCGCCCGCTTTCAGCCAAGAATGTTGCTAACTAAAAGCAAAACTCTGAACCAACTACCCAACTCCACGCAGTGAAGTTGAGCTTGCTTGGGTGGTTCAGTGGCAACAGTGGCTTGCCGTCATCTGCCACTGCCACTGCCGCAACTCTGACCCAGACGGGGGATGCCGCATAAAGCTATGCTCCGACTGTCTGACTCCATCCACAGCTGGCGCACTCTCATGCCCAACAGCTGTCGCTCCTTGTGCTCCTTTGTTGTCTCGATGGCATTTCATGATACACATAGTTTGGACTGCTTCTGGTTTGCGTTTATTTGCTCTTTACTTAGAAGTTCATTCGAAATGAATTTTAACTTGTCTCTTGCCCACGTATATATAGAGTTACCATTTCTCATAACTAACGACGACAGTTGCGATATTAAATTTCTCTATTTGCCTCATTTTATTACCACTGAGTGGGAATTTAGTGCGCAAAGAGTCATGTGTGTATAGGTATATATATTTGTGTAGCTCTGTTTACCAGTAATTCCTTTGGGTAGTTCTTGATAGACACATTCAACGGAATTAAAGTTATATGACTTCAATTTCAAATAGACACAGCTATTCGGGTGTTCATGGTATATATATATATATATATATATATATATATATATATATACCTTAATTTAATTAAAAAGAAGTCTCCCGTCTACAATGGGCCCAAAACAGGTTTTAAGTTGAGCCTACCTCCGTACAAAGAATTTTACTTATAACATGTTTCTATACTGCTGAGCTGTATATGATGTTCACACAATTTCACGTACCCCCATATATTATTTTAATTACAGTCCCTCAAATTGGGGGCTTGAAAAACCGAATCACTCTTCATTTCGCGCAGCTGTTCATATGGCTTGCGATCTTTGCCAGCCAATTTAAGCAAGCGCTCATAAAAGAACAGAAAAAATAGCATTAAGACGAAGTGGAAATACACTTGCTGGCTAAATAGAACTCTAATTTTATATGAAAATATAATCAGGTTATAAAAAGACTATTTATCTTTAAGCTTCATATGAATGAACCAAGTTTACTTAAAGATTTTGCATAAATATTCACAAATCAACGACTTCCAAGCTGCTTTTTGATATATTCAAGCAATTTGAAGCATTTGAACTGAAATACTCAGAGTATCACGCGGTCATATCACAACCTAATTGCAATGGTCCCCAGCGCAGGGTATATAAGAAAGAGAGAGAAATGATTTTTATTACGCATCTTGCATCGATTAGGTAAGAGCAACGCACGACTCGAAAGCCGCACAAAGCGCGCCTCGACCAAAATAAACATTTTTGCCAATTTTAAGTTGAATGAACAGCAACAAGAAAACTGCTGCACAGAGTCCAGAAAAACAGTTCATTGAATTTGCTCATTGAGTGCGTGTGTGTGTGGGAGAGAAGTTAATCGAGGTTTGTCCAGCCGAGCGATTGGTTGATACGCCGATTCTTTGTCTAAGCACGCGCCGTTTCTAATGATTAGTCAGCCAACTGAGGCGATGACTAAGCCCGCCAATGAAGCTCAAATTAGAGCTAGACGGCAGGCGGGAAAAGGTGAGGCGGTAGGTAAGAGGAGAAGGTCAGTTAACCCATTGCGGACCACAGCACCTGGCAGTGAAGTGTCCGAGCCGCCGTCAGTGGGCAGCCATTTGACACCAACGCCAGACAGACAGCGGCCCCGGCGGCAGAGGAGGTTTCTCAATTGCATTTGCTTTGGATTTAGCTTTGTTTGTCGCGGTTCTTGGCCCGGGCCTTGACTTCGTTCCATTTGATACGCTGCCATTAAGTTTTCATTTAATATTTTATCCGGCACCCACTCTGTCGGCTGCTTGGTGCGCCAAGGCGGCCACTTATTGGACTTATTAGTATGCCTGGCAAGCCTCTGGCCGTACCCATGCCTAATTTATTCACCTCAAGATTGGTATTCCTCTGCACAGCTAAGTCCTACACGGCTCACATTTCCTGCTGCTGCTACGCCTGCTGCTGCTGCCCGCCTGTCAAGTTTTCATTTAACCACAGGCAGCAAACAAGCTAAATAGGTGTAAAAATGTCCAAAGTTCTTTTAGCTTTTGCTTGCAGAAAATTAATAGGAAGAGTTTCTTATACTCGTTCTGGTAGCTGTCTTGAAATGTTTGCTTGTGTGTGTATAATTTTTATATTTTAGGCCACGTTATAAAATTTATTTTGAAATTATTTTACAGTTTTGAATATATTATAAAAAAATTATTTTACAAATTTTAATATAATATTAAAAAATGCATTTTAAATTTTTTTATTTATTTTACAATTTTTTAAAATATTTATTAGTATACAAATAAATTTTAATATATTTTTGTATAAGGGAATACTCAATCTGAAAATAAATTTTTAAAAATATAAAAGGTATATTTTTCCTTAGGATTAAATAAATATACATTAAATAAACAAATATAAAATAAATAAACTCACTTAAAATCAGAAAAAATAGTAAGAAATCAGCAGACAAAAAATGAAATTTGAATATTTTTTTTTGCATTACCTGTTTGCTTCATATAAATTCAAATTTCTGTATATGTTTATTTGAAGACACAAAAGTTGCTATGAGTCAGCCGACGTCTGGGAGCAACGAATTCTCAGAAAAGTTTCAAGCAAAGAAGAATCTCTTTGCTTTTGCAGGCAATGAGTTGGCTTAAACGAATTTTTTCCATAAAAATCATAAAACAATTATTTCTGACTTGATAATAAATGGAAAATCAATCTCGCCACGCCCCATTAGCTTTCGTGTCACTTTATCGATTGATTTGAAATATTTTTGAGCTAATGTTAACCCCATTAAACCTGACACCGCTAACATTTTGACTTCACCCAATGGCTCCTTGCCCCATATCTGATTTTCTTTCCCTTTTCTCTCAAGTATTTACCAAACTTAGCAAGTACGTTCAAGTTTTTTGGGGTCCGCTCAAGAAATGGGGCCAAGAGGCACGACCCCAAAAGCACATAACAGAAACATGCAAGCGGAAATGAGCGATAAGAGAAAGCCCAACACACCAACACTCACACAACCCTGAACAGTCTCCAAGGGTTGGTGCACCCTTAAACAAAAAAAAAAATATGTGCGTCATTATTGCATGCGATAGAACAAAAGCATCGACGTCTTTGCGGCGTCACATTGCATGCGAAAGTGCACTTTTGACACAGAAATATGCCTAGAGAGGGGCCACCATGGAGCCCCAACAGCCCCTCCTCCGCCCAAAGAACAACCCTGAACGAAGATAGGGTGCATATTATGCAACGAGGAAATATTTAGAAGAGCGAATATGACATT